ACGTTTACGCCTCAGTCCCCTCCCTGCCCTCCCAGGCCGGGCCCTTCCTGCTGCTTTTGTGACTCCCTTTTGCCATGTATGGGGCTGCTCGGCCCAGCCCAGAGAGAAGAGAGGCTGGCCCCGGGGAGGCCCAGGGTCCCTCTCTGCAAATATCCAAAGGTAGCCTTGTATAGAGCAGCTTTATTCTTGAAGGCAAGCCTTAGGGAGTGGCGTTTCCATGGGGAAAGGATAAGGAAGAATGACCAGAGTGGGGAGGTGCGGAGCCTGCCCCAGCCAGCAGTGAGCTCACTGTCCCTAGAGGTTCTCCAACACTCTCAATCTCAGCGAGCCTTTCTTTCACCTTATGCACGTTTCTAAGGGATCTGGTGGATTTTTAAAGGATCAAAAGTTTTGGGAAGGGCCCCTGGGTGAGGGAGTGCACCATTTCATTAAACGTGTGTCAGTATCCTCACATCAAGGCGTCCTGAGCCGCTGCCCGCTGGGTGCGGGGAGTCCTCAGGCACCGTAGGCTCATGAGCACGGAGCTGTCCACACTGCTTGCACAAGGCATTCTGGCAAGTACGGTCCGTCCCACGTAAACTTCTTCAAGTTCTGGTGTAACCGCCTCTCACAATGTCCCGGCTGCTCCAACTTTCCCCAAAACATCTGAGTGGTTTCAGAAACTACCCTTGTGATTCCTGAGCCAGCCCCAACTTCCTCCAGAGACAAGCAGGCTGGTGAGTAAACAGCAGCTTTGGGGCCTGGCTTCCAGCTGGTAATTCCAGGAGTCTCCAGGCAGCCTGAGACTCAATGCCCCAAGCTGCCACAGACTTGTCATCTGCCCACACATCCCCTTCCAAAGCCCCTTGTTTGTTTACATGAGCCTGAAAGCCCTGGGGAGAGCAGTCCAGCAGAGGAAGCCTGGGCAGCTGTACTCCTCAGTGAGATGCAAAAATCCGGAAATCCAGACTGAATTACCCAATGCTCTTTCTCTCCCGCAGTTCAGAATAAGGCCTAATGGGGCTATTTTTCTTTTTTTTTTTAAGACTTTATTAAGGAATTGGGGAGGGGAATAGCGTTGGGGAATTGGGGAAAGGGAACAGACAAGTTGCTCTCCTTTTGCTCCTCAATCTAGTTGTTGAGGACGTTGCTTCACTGGTCCATGTTGGTATTATCATTGCGCTCTTCCCGGGTGAGGCAGATTGGTCACCGGCCATTGGACGGCCACTCACGGCGGCTCATGGCAGCTCACGCTGGCTGCCAGCGACTCATGATAGCTCACGGCAGTCCACTGCAGCAGAGGCTGCAGCCTATGCCAACTCATTGCAGCCCAGCTCCAGGTTGAGCTGTTGTTCACCATCTTAGCTGTAGAGGGCACAGTGTCACTGGCCCACGTGTGGGATCCGAACTGGGGCCCTGCTGCTCAGAGCTGGCGTCCCAAGCCAACTCCTAACCAACACGCCACTCAGCCAGCCCCCGAATGGGGCTTTTGGCCTTCACATCCCAGCTGAGCAGCTGCAGCCAGAGGACAGGACCCGGGGCCACCAGGATCTGTGCATGTGGCTGCTCTGGGGCGTAATTCATGTCCCAGCACAGAGGGTCATGCCCACCCAGCAAGCAAGGACCCAGGAAGGGCCCTCAGTTCCTCTTCTCTGTGTGCGGAGGGAGCCCCTGGGCAAGGAAAGCAGGCCCTTCTCCAGGTGGGCAGGGTCTCTGACCGGGACAGCACTTCAGCTGCTGGGGGTCTGCAGCCTTCTCGGTCCTGAGATGTCTCCTGCTGAGGGGACTGGTGGGGACATTCTGAGATGAATGGATTGATTGTAGTCCCTGGGCCCACTGTGAGAGCCACAGAACAGGGAAGGGAGGCAGCACCTGGAGGGTCCCACTCCACCNTGGCAAAAGTGATGCCGTGCCCATTTCTGGGCCCAGATTTTGAGAACCTGGTGGTTTCCACTTCCTACCCCGGGCTGTTTGCTCTAGGAATCCAGCCATCATCCCGTGAGGAGGCCCACACTGCTCCATGACTGGCCCCTGGGGAGAACCCAGCAGCCAGCACTCACTTGCCAGCAATCTCAGAAGCATTCCAGGGCCAGCAGGCGCTGTGTGAGCAGAGATAGGCTTTCCCCAGCAAGCCCAGGCCAAAGTGCAGATTTGGGAACAAAGTAAACGACTGGTGTCATTTTAAGCCACTAAGTTTTGAGGTGGTTTATGACACAGCAAGAGATAGCCAGGACAGGAAGCATTTTCTCAATTCCTTGAGACCTTGCTTCCAGGCAATTGTCATCAGTTTGGCTAAAATAAACCCTTATTTTAAAAAAAAAAAAAAAAAGAAAGAAAGAGAGATAACCAGGACAGTTAAGGTCAGTTACTAGCCATTCAACACTTTGAAAAATAAGGTCAGCGTGCTCATTTATAATAATGGCCACTGTGAGGTTAAGTGGCAATGCATGTAAAGTGTTTGGGCGTTAAGTTCCTAATTGACAATTTCCCTGCCCTCTTCTGCAGGATCAGCTACATAATTTGTGGGACCCAGTGCAAAATGAAAACGCAGGGCCCCCTGTTCAACATGTGTTAATACTTACCCAGACGGCGACAGCAGGTCATTCAACCAAGCTCGGGCCCTTCTAAGCGGAGACCCTGTATAGCTGCACAAGCCATTCTTACCTGTCTGTATCTAGGGGTCACTTTGGCTCTTGCAAAGCTGCCTTATAAATAAGAACCCAATGCTCTTACCACAGCTATTAACACCAAATTAAAAAATAATAGTAATAAGGAAGATTGAAAACTAGCAAGTAACCTTTACTGTTCACTTAGACGAGACTGTGATTTCCCCACCCCAGCCCCAACTTACACAGCAAGGAACCAAACTTACCAGGCTGGGGCCTTAAGCAAACTGCTTTACCTCTCTAGGGCTCAGTTTTCCCATCTGTAAAATGGGACGCTTGTTCTTGACCTGTCTTCCCTGGATCCTGGGATGGGGCGGAGAGCGGGATACAAGGGGTGACTGAGACTGTCAAAGGAGATCCGATTGTCNAGGAGGGAGTGACAGGGCCTGGGGGTGGCAGTTCCCTTCCAGGCTGGATGTGGGGTGGCTCTGGGCTCTTTCCTTGACATGATACCCAGCCCACCCTTTGGGAAATACAGTGCAGAGACCAGCTACCCACTCATCCGTTAGGAGTACGAAATGCTGAAGTCACTGAGCTCATTTCCCTAGCAGGTCACCTCTTCCCCAGTTCAAAGGGAGGGAAATGTAAGTAATTTTTCCCTGTATGGTCTCCCAATCTTCACCCATTCGGGTGTTTACAAGTACGTGTCTACTGGCCAGAGCTGGCAAGGCTGGACAGCAATGACTCAGTGTGAGCACACCCTCTGCAGGAGCTCAGAACAGGAAGAACTTGCAGGAGGGACAGAGGGACCCCAACTAAGGAGCCCGGGGACTACTTGAGTAGATGACAGTGACTTGGCCACCTCTAGTTCACCTCTTAGGTGAAGTTCGTCTATAGGACCTCACTCCCAGGAAACGAGATCACCCTTCCCCCCAGGCCTGTCCTGTCTGTCTTGCAGATGCCGCACATACTTATTGAGCACCTACTATGTGCCAGGCAGAACTCTCCTGCCTCTTCACCCACAGATCATTGAGATCCTGCCCCAGCTATGTGCCCAAACGAGGATTCCAGGAATCTTTAGCTCCAAGAAATAAATGGTGGAATTTCAAGCACCAAGAATCAACTTTGCTACCACCTAGACCTGGGTTCAAGTCCTAGGTCAGGCCATTTACCAGCAGGTGACTTTCACCTTGGACAAATCACTTCACATCCCTGAGCCTCCATCTCTTCATCTATAGNGCTGGCGACTGATCTGCCTCGCCCGGGAAGAGCGCAATGATGGTGCCAACTTGGGCCAGTGAAGCAACGTCCTCCACAACTAGACTGAAGAACTAAACGACAGCAACTTGTCTGTTCCCCTTCCCCAATTCCCCAGCACTGTTTCCATCCCCCCAATTCCTCAATAAAAAAAAAATATTAAAAAAAATATATCAAAAGAAAGAAATGGAAGAACTGATACGTGAAAAAAAAAAGTAGGTGAACCATAAAAAAAAAGAAAACGTAGGTGAACACCTGAGACCCAGACATAGAGGGGGCTTGGTCCTGCCCCCTCCTTCAGCCCCAGAGAGCAGTGCCCCTGCTCCCGCCCCCCCAAACCTCCACCTCCACCCACCCCCAGCTGCCCCTGGGAGGCTGGGCACAGGGAAGGGTGGCTGGACAAGCCCACTGAGGACCTGATGTGTGGGCCCTGTCCTGGGTGGTCCTAGGATCAGCATTTGCAAAGCACCCCCCACCCCAGCCAAGTGCCTGCATGAGGTGGGCACTTCATAAAAGACAGACAAAGGTGGTCTTACTAGAAGGCAGCCTAGCTTTGGAATCACGAACCGGCCTGGCCAGCTGGGGCTCAAATCCCAGTTGATCTGCTTTTCAACTGTGGAACCACCTTTCCTGTCTGGGCCTCCTCCGTTGCCAATTATGTAAAACAGGACAACAGGACCCTCTGCGTGTTGTAAGGACTACCCGAACTAACTTCAAGAAAGCACAAAGTGAGGTGCCTAGCTCATGGTAAGTGCTCCATACAGGAAAGCTAAGTTTTAAAAAATTCGAGCTACTGTTTGTCATTCCAGTTGCAAGGACAAGACTCATGGAGGACTGCAGGAGAAAAGGGGAAATAAACGCAGCCTTTCTCCTGACCACACCTGGCATGCAAAATGGTCAAAACCAAATCCATGGTCTGGCAGGCCCTTCTGGAAGTCCCCGGTGAGAAGAGCCAGAAGCGGAGGGCTGCTGTGGGGGTGGGGCTGCAGTGCCGGCCAGGGCCTGGCTGAGGCCCCACTCTGCTCAGAGCCCCTGCATGGGGCAGAGGCAGCCTGCACTCCGGGCACTGTGGAAGGGGACTGACCCAGCAGATCTGTTTAGGAAAACAGTCAGATTTAGGGCTACCAAGCTGGGAGCGGACGGAGGGGGACGGCTTACCATGGTGTTCCTCCGAGGTCTGGAATCTGCAAGAAGAAAAAGAACAGTGACTTCACCAAGGAGGGTCTGGCAGCAGTAGGGTCCTGCCTCACCCCACATGTGGGCAAATGCCCCCCACCTTGTTCCCCAGTGAGAGGTGGTGCTGTCAGGCCCTCGGTCTGGAGAACAGGGGGCAGGTTTGAGGGTCAGTGCCCACTCCCCAGGCCGGTGTCACAGGGGCTCACTTGCCTGTGCTCACTTGCCCAGAGACATAGAACTGGGGAACCACCTGTTCTCCAGCCACTAAGCAACTCAGCACACTGAACCCCTCTCAAGCCCCCGCCCCCCACGCTCACCCCCACCACCTATACAGAAGGAATGGTTCAGGAGAGGCACACACTCCAGCTGGAGCCAAAGAGGCTTCTGCTGGCTTGGACATTGGTCTGTGGTTGCTGCCACCACCTTGTAGCCCCAAGGGTCTGGAGAGCCCAGAACTCCCCAGATTCCATACAAAACACACAGGGGACCTAAGGGCAGGGTGATAGAGAGTGGATGACAGTCCCTGAGGATGTCTTTGAAGTCTGAGGCAGACATTCCTGAAGCCAGTCAACCTGGGAGCCCTTCTGGCTTAGGCCAGTCTAAGTTCGGTGTTCCATTAATCATGCCTGAAAGAGCCCATGTGACCATCTTCAAGGAGGACAACTGCTCACCAGTCACCTCATTCCCTGCAACCCTCTGGTAGGCTGGGGAGGTGCTGACGCAATGATTCTTAGGGCTCAACCTTTACCTTCTCCTCCCTAGCCCCACAATCCACTCCAATTTTTTTCTCACATTAAGTAGGGTGCTAGGTCATGGCCAAGTGTATATTGACATTTAACCATCAAAGATGCTCTTGAGAAAGCTGGCAGTGGTGCCCAGGCATCTGGTCTGTCCTAGAGCCAAACAACACCCAGGCACAGATAATCCCCTAGGGACACACAGCCTTTCATGACTCTCGAGGAGGCCGCCTACTCAGAATACCTTGCTGTTAGGTGTGCATTACCTGACCAGAGAAATCTGCTAGAGATGCCAGGATGCCAGCTAAGTCACCTCCACAACCTCCTCTCTGGCCTCAGCAGCTCTGGCAAACCACCAGCCCTGAATCCTAGCTGAAAACTCACTGGAGGCCGACCAACCATGATAACACAAATAAGATAGACAGACTGAGCTTGCTGTGTGGACACCAGGTCAGTTTGGGAAACACTCTCATGGGTCCCATCAGCAGGTAGAAAAGTGTCTAATGGGAAAATAGACCAGAACAATGAAGAAAAGAAGTGCATGTGTAAAATGACACAATTCTTGATTCTTGATAAAACAAATGTCCCGAGCTTACTTAATCTGATAACTGCTGTTCCCAGCAGAGTAGTGGTCACCTGTGTATGTGTGTGTTGCGGGGGGCAGGGGAATGGGGGTGGGGGGGCTGTGGCTCACTCCCACCAGACGGCCACTGTCCACTGCCCAAGCAACCGCTTTGAGAAACACTCTCTCTGAGTGAGTGAGGCACATTCTTTGAAATGAGGTCAGTGAAGCTGAATCTTTGCCCCTTGAGAGTGATTTTGAGTTCTGCAAACAGCTAACTGTTATTTGGTTCCAAGTCACTGGGATGGTGGGAGGTGGTGAAGGGGGAGAGTGTGTGACAAAGTAACGAGACAAAATAAATAAAAATGATAAAACTCAGTCTTGGAGAGGACATGGGTAAACAGGAACACAGCAGCTCATGTCCCGTGAACTGGTTCCATATTTCTCAACAGCCATCTGGCAATGAAAACCTCACAGCTTTTGACCCAGTAATCCCTCCTCAGGGACACACCCGCAGGAAATAACCCAAAAGAAAACAAGGCCGCTCACAGTGGTGGTACTTATAATAACCAAAAAGCTGAAAGCAAGCCAGGTGCCAAACAATGAGGCAGCCTAGCAACCCTGGAGTGTTGGCCTTCCAGGCAGTGAAACCCCAGCACATCATTCCACTTCTTCTAGCCTCAGACCTCTTATCTGGGAAATGGGACGGATTGCGCCAACTTTGGAGGGTTTTCATGAAGATTAAATGAGATCTTGAAAGTGAGGGCGCCCAGTGATCAATCACATTGAGATCATGTCCTCTTCCATGATGTGATGAAAATGCCCGTGTGCCTGTGCAGCCTCCTACCTGAAATCTATAACCCCAATCTAATCAGGAGAAAAACATTCAGACAAATTCCAGGACAGGGGCATCCTACGGCATAACTGAACAGTCCTCCTCAAAGCTGCCAAAGTCATCGAAAAACAAGGAACGTCAGAAACTGTCGCAGCCCAGAGGAGCCTAAGAAGACATTGAGGTCCCTTGATATAGGGACAGCTACAGAATCGCTCGTGGAATTTTCAAGAGTAGCAAGATCATGAACATGAAGGAAAAGACAGGAACTGACCCCAAATCAAGGAGACCCTAGAGACATGACGACCAAATGCAACACGAAATTCTGAACTAAGCGTAACGTGGTGTCCTAAGTGGGATCCTGGAACAGGAAAAGGACATTAGGTAAAAACTGAGCAAATCTGAATAGAATATGGGCTTTAGTTGTTATCATTGTAATGCAACCTTGGCTCATTTAGTGTGACAAATGTACCTACCATACTAATGTTAGATGCTAATAGAGGAAAGTGGGTGTGGGGTAGACGGGGACTCTTTGTACTATCTTCTCCAACTTTCTGTAAATCTCAAACTGTTCTAAAAAATAACGTCTATTTAAAACATTAAAACATTGCAAAAGGAAGGTGCCCAGGACGCTGCCTGGCACATCGTGGGTTCCAGGATGTTAATGTGGCTTGACACTCTGTCGTACCGAGGAGAAAATCAGCTTTCAATACTGATTTTCACAAACAAGCCTGACATAACATAAAGGTGAAAGGACAGAATCCAGAACATACCAACATCTGCCTCCAGCTGTGTTGTACCCCACATGTGTACTTTGATAAAGACCCAGGACAAATTGTGCCAAGTACAGAGGTCAGGTTTTGTAAGTGCTTTTCCCCTAAACATGTTGCTTCAGTCCACTGTCTTCACTTGTTGGTTTCATTGCTTTGGGAATAACTTCTTGGGAACACGTCGAGTACCCCAGGATGCAAACCCCCTGGGACAAGTGCATGGTACCCTGGAACTGCCCTGAGGGCCACTGTGGCTGAGCTCGTGGCTTCTGACTGACGAATTAGCGGTCTCTTCCATTCCCACTGCCCTCCCCTTTCAGTCCCATCCCCTCTCTTGTCTTGGGGCCCCAGCTGCTGTGGGAAGTGCACCAGACACAAGGAAGGAGTTTGGCAGAGGTGCAGCCAGGGTTTGGCAACCGGCACTGCTCGAGTCAAATCCTGGGCTCCTTGGAGAGACGGCCATCTCTAGGGTGAGGGGGCAGGGAAGCACACGCTAAGCTGGGAACATCTTAGAGAGAAGAAGTGCTCTGACCACAAAAGGATGGAGGCCAAAGGACACAGGAGCCAGCCCCCACCTAACCGGGGACTATGTGAACATCACATTCAATCATGATGGCAGCAGAATAAAATAAGAATCCATGAGTCAGATATAAATACATAAATGAAATGAAGAAAAGGGAAGTCTGACGAGGAACAGGTTATTTACACAGCCTCCAAGTACCTCAGAACACTTAGCAATTACCAAGGAGGAAAAAGCACTATCATGGTGGAGAAGCCTGGGCAGACAACACCTCAATCACGTGCTCAAAGTGAGCCACCCCAGGAAAGGGACAAAAGGGATGTCCCTTTTGTGGCATCTGCGGGATGGATGCCACAAAGCAAAGCTCAGCGTCACTCCTGGGCTCTTCCCACCAAAGATGCTCGGCCTGAGGTCAGCAGTGAGGGACCATCAGAAGAACTCAAGGTGAGGGGCAGCTGCAGAATCGCTGGTGGAATCTTCAAAGTGGCTAGGTCATGAACGTGAAAGAAGAGACAGGAACTGACCCCAAATCAAGGAGACAGAGACACTACGACCAAACGCAACATGAGGTTCTGAACCGGATTTTCTTGCTATAGAAGGACATTATTGGGATAAAAGAAGAAATGTGAATGGGGTCTGAGAATTCATGGGGGTAACGCATCAAGGTGAATTCTCTGATTTTGATGGTTCTCCTACGGTCGTGTAAAAATACGCCCTTATAGTGTGTGAAATACACACTAACGTATGGAGATGATAAGGTAGTAAGTCAGTAACTTACTCTCCAATGGTTCAGGAAAAATAAGTTCCTGGTACTGAACTTGTGATTTTTCTGCAAGTTTGAAATTGTTTCAAAACAACAACAACAAAATTTTTTTTTCAATTTAAACCTTCCTGACATAACAGATAAAGTCATGACTTTAGCATCCCTAAAAACAATCGATTAAAAGAATTTTTTTTTTTTTAAGCTGAGCCATCCTGCTACCTGTTGGCAGCTCAGCGGCTGCTCAGCTCGAGTCGGGCTGGACTCGAACCACTGTTGCTCAGAGCTCAAACTCTTGAGCGAGCTCTTAACCAACTGAGCCACTCGGCCGGCCCGTAAAAGAATTTTTAATCAGTGTTTCTCAACCAGGAGTGATACCCACCCCCGACCAGGGGACCTTTGGCAATGTCTAGAAACATTTTTGGTTGTCATACCTGGGAGGTGCTACTAGTAATCTCTGATGGGTAGAGACCCAGGGAAAATGCCTAACGCCCTACAGTGCACAGGACAGCCCCCCATGGCAAAGAATTATCTGGTCCCAGATGTCAATAGTAAGAGGGTGAGAGACCCTTTTTACAAAAATCTCACCACCAGCAAAATCCTGGCTGTGCTGCTTATTCATCACGTGGCCTTCAACAAGTTCCCTCATCTTCCTGTGCCTCTGCTTCCTCAGCTCTGAAATGGAGACAATAACGATGGGTGCCTGGGGCAGCCAGTTAGCTCAGGTGGTTAGAGCGCAGGCTCGTAACATCAAGGCTGCCGGTTCGATTCCCCTATGGGCCAAGGAGCTGCGTCCTCTGCAACTAGATTGAACACGACTACTTGAC